TCACAAACGATCCGCCAACCCAATATTCAGATACCGGCCACAGTTGTCGGAGTGCGCATCGCCGTCCTCCACCGTGGTCTCCTCCGCCGCCGTCTCCAACTACGATGGCTGTGAAGAATCGCGACAACAGTCGACCGAACAACCATCGGGACAGCGGAGGTTACCAGCACCGACCACGACGCCATCTCTACTACCGTCATTATCAACACCACCTCCACCTCGACCGCCGATGCACACCGACGGCTGGCCACCAAGCCACAGGCTACATAAAAATCTGTTGCTGGTCACCGGGCAGGTGCATCACGAGTTCATAAGCGAGTGCTCTGTCGCGGAACAGACGCGCAACCTCCACGAACTCGACTTGATGCTCAAGCGGAGGCCCGGGCCGTTTGGCACCAGTGACTTCGTGATGGTCCAAGTGGGCACAGGCTGGCGGCTCAACGTCCAGGTACTGGACGTACTAGTCGACAGGCTGGGAAACGTATCCGTGTACTCGGACAAGAAGTTCTATAGCAAAACGATGACCAAACACTGCCGGAACATCGGTGACCGGTGCACACTGCTCACCAACCTAGTGCCCGTCATCGAGCAGCTGGAACTGCGACAGGAATTCATCGACGGCGGTGGTGGTAGTGATGGTGGTGGTGGTGGTGGTGGTGGCAGCAGCATGTACGACCCCGACTGGATTCCGGTACCCGCCGTGCCGCCCCTGCCCCGCAACTTCACCGGCGACACCGAGAAGCAAATTGAATATCTGACATGGCGACTATGCGTCCGGGACAGGCGTCAAAATTTCTACTACAAACTCAACCAGGACTCGCTACGGTCTCCCTTGAGGTACACGCAACGCTTCGGGCACAACCGCCACCCGCAACCCAATACCCGCTTGACCACCAACCCACCCACTCACACACACACACAGACACCCACGAGGGGTAGCGTGAATGTAAGTACTGCAATCGAGTGCACATGCAACACGCTTAGGAGAGAAGGATAAAACGTTTATAGATGCTTACTGCAATTTTAACAATTCAAATTAAATATTTTGATTATTTTCTGCAACAGTCGAAATCACTGTCCCACACTAAGACATTACATTTTCACTATAAATAATAATATATACAATATACATTAAACGGCTCACACCACCCACAATTTCTTTATAACTACTATAGGTTTGAATGTAGCCAAATTAAGGGTCAATGACGCAATGGAACCAACAATTGTCACTGTCCACCGCCATCAACTAAAAAAAAATGAATAATTAAGGTAAAATGTTTCTTTTTTAGTCCACAATGTTTCTAAAAACGATGATTGTTTTATTTAATGAGCGAATGCAGTGCAGGAGTAGCCAGGATTTCTACAAGGGGAGGGGGCAAAAAAAAGTTAAATAAATAACATTCCAATAACAGTATTTTTAATGTTCCAAATATTTACGGTGTTTTGATAAACAATTAACATTACATTTTTTTTAATTTTAACTCCCAACCGGTACATAACCAAAATTAATAAATTAACGATTATTTTTTTAATATTATATGATACGGCCTATGGAGGGCATGGCCCCTGTGGCCCCCTTGGCTACGCCACTGAGCCAATGATAGATTGTTTCCTGATGGAAAATTCAATAATAGTAAACAAATATTTAAATTGTATAAGAGGTGATTCGTCTTGAAAATTTGCTAAAGATCTAATTAAAAGTTAATATTAAAATAATCTAACATCACGATTTTAAATTATAAATTATTTTTAAAATGTCATTGTAATTAAATAGCTAAGAAAATCAATTTTTTTTTTTATTTACATAATTACTGTAACACATAATATTTTTTTGGATACCTAAGCAGTTTAAATTTTGCCATCCATCAAAAATTGCCACCTAGAGCCAATTGCACCTTGGTTATGCGGTCCTGAATTATGTAGAGAGGGAGAGAGCTCATTAGAGTGGCGTCATTTGTGGTAGGACAGGGTGGGTATTTCCCCCCTTATCATTAACGGGTTGCAAGTCTGCTATAAATTCATATTTCAAATTATTTCATTATTAGCTGTTGACATGTTTTTTGCTATAAAGACTAGAAGATACACAATTAATGCCTAGCATCTATCATTCTATCTATCTAAGTAACACTTTAAAAACATAAATTAATAATAAATATTTCATAATTTATTGTATATTTTGTTTTATTTTTTTAAAATACATTTATACACGTCATATTTAGTGTAAATAGAACATCAATTGAAGTAAAATTATTTTCAAAATAAGTCATCATAATATAATATCTATAATAGGTTATATTGGGTATCCCTTTACAATCTACTTAGTACACATTATTATATATATATATAATAATATGTATTATTTAGTCATTGTTATCCTTCAAAAAGTGAGTTATTAATGCCTTATCTCAGATAACCATGATAGTAAATAACATGTATGAAATTATGTAAAAAGGCTATTTGTATTGAAATGAAAATATATTTGTAATTTAGTTGCTAACGAGTAGTTAAATATTATGGGTTGATCAAAACTTTTTGTCCCTCTTTTCAAAAACTGACATGATACCACTGGCCATTAATAAAAATATTAAAGTAGACTATGTTTTTGACTTAGAAGTTCTCGCAATTTTTTGATATTGCATCCTACACGCCAGCTTATAATATACATATGTAGATTGTTTTCCTTTATTTTCAATTAATAAAAATTGTGCTTTTGCAAAAATGTTTAAACTCGATCTATCAGGTGTGTGTGTGTGTTTTTTTTAATAAATATTATATTCATCAATTTCCCCTTGGATCCGACATCAAACTCTTCCTGTGTGATGTTTTGAACATAAATAATATTTGGAATTAAGCGCCTAGTGTAAAATATGTAAATTGTTGTAAATCGCAAAACAGGTACTATAATCAAATCTTTCAGGACTCATACTTTTAACGAAAAACAGAGTATTTTAAACAAAGGTAAACAATTTTCAGATTTTAAAACGAAATGTACAGAAAAAATATATTTTTACACTACTTACATTGACACGCGCGCGCTCGCTGTTGTTACATGCAACTTTGGACATGACGCCAAGATTTCGCTTGACTACGTTCGACTAACAGTTAAACTGAAAATCTTGATTATCAAGTTGAGCCTATAAAAAATATATCTACTCACTCTTTCTTTTTTACCATGGAACAGTCCCAAAAATTTTAAATTACAGTTTACATACAATAATTAGGTCAATTAGGAATCTTATACTGGTCACTAGATACAATATTTATTATGTAAATGAATAGACTCAGCATAGACATGATTTACGACAGGTCGTTGACTTTTGACATTTAACCACAAAACTAAGGTCTATACGAAAGCGGAATTCCTGTAAAGATCACGAAATTACGAGTAACTATACCAAACTAGATTTTGAATGCATTTATGCTATTAAAATATCTAAAATAAGCTACTTTTAAAAATGAAAAAACTTTAACTATATAGTATAAGTTATTATGCCAGCTCATATTATACGTCATGAATAATGTTATGTTATATAAAATCTCTACAGTTGTGTAGTATATATATAACATAATAATATTTCGGTATACTTACTAACAGTGTATGACTATCATGAACGCAACTTTAAACAAATTATTATATAATTTTATAATTCATAATCATAAACAAAAATTATAACAATTAAAATCATTCATCACATAGTACATTTATATAGCATTAACTATTTTAAATTGATCAGTATTAATTTTTTGTCTAGATAACAAAAACATAATTAACCGTAATCACAGCTAATTATTTTATATTAATTGTCAATAAAAATGTATATAATTACTGATTATTATTAGGGTTCGTGTTCATATCTTATATAATACTAAACAATTTCAGTGCATTTTTTTTTCACTCTTGGAAAGTCAGAACCACGAGCGACACAGCAAATCATCTTCCAGCTAACTTATCTTGCATTAGCTTAAATATAAAAGTGATTGACTTATAATTAAATTTAAATATAAGACTGAACATAACATGTCTCATACACTAGTTTATACTAGTCGATAATCCAATTTTCATGCAAGTTATATTGAGAACCTATAAAATATTACCATTTAAAAATTATAAATTTATCAGAAGAAAATTTGAATATCGTAAAATAATACGTATAAATACAATTATTAATATGGATCATATTTTTGAAATTTAAATGTTCTTCTGCAATCAGCCGCATTATTAGTATTACTTATCGTCCACATTAACACGTCTTTTTCTTACTGAATGCTTTGTAATTTTCGGAAAATTTAGTCGCGGGCATGTTGGCGGTTATAGTTGTTTTTCAAAATAGCGGTAATTATTACAAAAGCTATAAGAATACCCTAAATACTAATGTAATCGGCGATCCAAAATCTCCTACCTACAACAGTAGGAAAACAGTACACGTCAACAAATAGCAAAATAACATTTTGGATTTTCTGACTAGGTATATAGTTAAACTTGTAGCTTACCAAGCTATTTTTTTACTGTTTAGAAAATACATGGAAATGCATATAAATCCGGGCCTCAGTCATCATGACATATTGTAATACGCTATAACTTATAGCCTATAAGCTTATCTCAATTTAGCACACTTGGGTCTCAATAACTGTCTAATTGTACATACTCTACGTATATATAGATTTAGTATTAACATACGTCAGATCGCGATTATAATTGTCTGTGATGTCGTCACATATACTATATATCTATGGAATTTGCCTGAAGAGCTATGCAAATAATAAATGACTGAAAAAATAGTTTTAATCTTATAGTTTCTTGGTTAACTAAACGAAATTTATTAAAGTCAATTACCCTATAGCACCTACACTAAGAACATTTTGTATCAAAACTAAATCATGATCATATTAAAATATGTAGTATTTTGCACAGTTAAAAAAAACAAATTATTAGCCTTCCAATTCCTTCTTATTTCATTTTCGTTTGTCGATAACCACTGTGTACAAATGATATGTTTCAGTGATCAGAGTGATATCGCTGAGAGTGACAATGTCGTCTTCGAAACCAGCTTGTCACTCACTGACATACTACCGATCAATCCAAAGAACTACGACAAAAACCGTGCGCCAAAAGTACAAGGGCAACCGACTATTGTATACTTCCACGTCACCGTTCTGTCTTTGGATTCCATTAACGAAGAATCCATGGTAAACCTAAATATAAACGTTACACGACTAACGCTACAACGTTTACTGTGAATTATCATATCTTCCATGGTTCATATGCAATTATATACAGGCTTCATATGTTTTGAATGAGGGGAGCTAAGGGGACTATAGCCCCTCAAAATATTTTTTAGCTCCTCTGTGCATTATCTTAGTCGCGTCAATAAAATATATTTTGGTGTACCCAAAATATTATAGGCCCATTACCCCATATAAATATATAACGTCATAAGTAAGGTGATCTCCTATTCCTTGGACCAAACCCACTATAATACTATATACCTAGTCATATTAAAATGACAATCATTAACAAGCAACTAGCACGGGCGGCTTTCATTTGGGCGAATAACCCAAAATAACATATCGTTTGGGCGAATTTAAATACATCATTTGGGCGAAATGTACACACACCCCTAATTTATCTAATACATCGTTTGGGCGAGCCGAGTTATTAAAAAAAAAAAATTGTTATATAATATAATTCCTAAAAAATAATTTATAAAATTATGACTAATTATCACAATATTATATTTAGTCATCATATTGATTATAATTTATAGACTATATAATATACGTTTTCCTTCYCATTTTYAGAGACTTAGGACTCTCAGTTAATTCTAATTGGTATATGGTTAAAAATGTGTTATGTTGTAATTGTCATATATAATTTATTATCTTATAATTTGTTATTAGTATGGTACCTCAT